ATATACCTTGTCATAACCTTATAGATTTGTTAATCCTCAACAAATATCATTTTTATGTTTGGTATTCTCTTCCTTGATATATCCCACTACAATTAAATTAAATGTATATTTGACTTGTCTGCCAGACCATTGAGAAGTGAGAGTGAAAAATAAAGGAAAATTCTAAGGGTTCGTAGGCAATAAAGCCCAGGTTTTTTAAAGGTATTTAGGTGTTGCTCCTCTCAGCATTGCAAGGCCTACATGACTTGGGAGCCTAAATCTCATTTTCAAAAGTGCCTAAATTTTGAAAATGAGACTTGTAACACTGAACATAGCAATGGCTAAATACCTTAAAAAATCTGGGCCTAAATGCTCCAGGCCTCATTAGCAAACTTTTAGGTACACCTTAGGCACACTATGAGTTCCCGTGACTCTGATACTAACAGTGATGCTGAAAGCACATGTATTACTCCTCAGATGCTACTATTCTCACTTCTATTGATAATGTTCCTCTAGTGCTATTATGATCTCGTACCGGCCCATCAGTTCCTCTCTCCACAGTTTCCATCATGGATGCATCATGCTCCAGAGTGGGGAGAGAATTATGGACTAATGATAGTGTAACAATATGGGACCACAGAAGCAGTAAGGAAGCATTTCCAGTACAACCGAGTAAAATTCAGAATTTACATTGTGTGGGAAATTCCATCATTTCAACATTTGTTACCATTCCAATTTGGGATGAAAAGCTGAAATTTTTTTACAGAATAGAAATTACAAATATATATTTGGAAATCTTGAAATGTATTGTTTTAACATTTTTGATGAACATTCCACAAATTTAAATATTTTGTTTCTGTAAGTTGAAATGACGGGAAATGCTTTCTTTTGAGTCATTTCAAACATTATGCTGCATTTTCTCATTGTGGCTCATTGCCATATGGGAGTATAGTTCAGGAGTCTAATGTTCTCATTCTTTCTGGTGAGCCAGTTTCCCTAGCCAAACTTTATCTCCCATAATGCAACCAGAGTGATGCGACTCACAGGACATGCAATGCTGTGTGTTGCATTATGGGAAATGTAGTCCTCCAGGGAGCTCAGCATATAGGAAAGAATGGGGGCCTGAACTACAACTCCCATATTCCCAACTCCCATACTGCAATAAGTTGATAAGGCAATGCAGTTTAATACTTCATTGAACTAATTCCAAATTAAACATTTTGGATCACTTCAACAAAAAATCTCTTTTTTGCAAAAATCAGTATTTTCCTGCAGAAATTTTCAGTTTTCCAGAAACTGCATTTTCCATCAGAAAATCAACCTGACAGAAAAATCCCTGCTCTAGTTATCAGTGTTCTCAGCATTATGGTTAATGTCAAGGAGAAACAGACATCTCACTTCTGAAAAAAAAAGTCTTCTTAAAAGCTGTGTTAAAAAGAAATGGTTTAATATGAAGGGAAAATGAGACAGTGAGGTGGTCAGAGAAAAAGGACAAACAGGACATAGGGGGGATGTGTGACTGTGCACCTGCCTGTGGTGCCTATCACCTGGGATGCTATGTCCAGGGCCTAAGTTAGAAGTAGTGACAGTAAAGTTAGTTTTTTGTGTTTTGTTTTTTTAAATAAGATGGAAAGAGTGAGTGGCTGCAGACTCATATCTGGCATGGGGATGGAGGGTGCAGGTTGCCCCTGAATAGGAGGATTAAGTTGAAGAATCTGCCAATTTACAATCTAAGGTCTTGTCTACATGAACAACTGGTTCTCAGTAAGCTGTGGTGTGAATCTACACCACACTAGCCTGCCGAGGACTCAATATCCACACGGATGCTGCAGATATGCATTAACAGTTTGTTAATACACTTTGATCTATTCCTTCTTGAAAGACTATTAGATGAAAGCACATTAACTTACTGTCAATGAGCTTCAGCAGGGTCCAGATGGACAGTTACCCCTTTGCAGGCTAGTGCGGGATAGAGTCACATCCCCGCTTGCTGCAAACAAATTGTTTGTGTAGACAAGCCCTAAGTAAGTTTAGTTTCCCATCTGCTGGTTGGTTTGTGTGCATATGAAAAAGAGACACGGGGAATATCCTTGTGTACCACTGCAGCCAAGATTTGATTTAACCTTACAGCCATGATGTAGCTCCTTGAATAAATAAATTAAATGTGAGCTCCCTCTAATCAGTCACCAGAATCTTTGCTAAGCTTTATTTTTTAAAGCAGGAATACATTCTTCATAACACTTTCTCCTTTTGAGGAGCTATCTGCAAGTATGGCTACCATACAGCTAGGTTTTCCTGGTCATTGCCTCTTTTTTGAGCCTCCATCCTCTGTCCAGGCAGATTTTTCAAACAACAGGCAATGTCTGGGATTTTTTCAAAGATGCTGCAGCTCAGAGAGCCCCGATTGGTCCACTTCCTGACTGGGTTCCCTCTCTGGCATTGGCAGCCGATTGGTCCATTCCCCTGCAGCCACAGCTGCTGAATCATACCCACCCAGGCCCTGGCTCCCAGCCCTGCGGAGAGGGGTCCCATAGAGAGGGACTGACTGATGATCGGCAGTGCGTCCTGGGCTTGTGCCAGCCACCATGCCACTATGACATGGAATAACACTGCCCCCAATCTCCAGTAAGTACCCCGCTGCAGATACCCCCTCCAACTTCCCCAATTGTACCCGTCCTTCAGCTCCCTCTTCTCCCTCGCCCCCTCCCCTCCGCAGTGTACTCTTTTGGGGAACCTGAAATATGGTAACCTTATTTGCAAGGGCTGGCCCCACCCCCGTTACTAACTATAGGGAGCAAATTTTCTTGATATACACAAAATCATACTTATACAGATAAAAGCCAATCCTCTTCCTCTCTCATACATGCAGAACAGCAGCGATCTGATAAGAATCACAACTAGTCAAACCCACATCGATGCAGCATGAAGACCAGCAGTATCCTGGCTCACTAGCTCTACCCTAGCATTCCAGAAAACTTTATCTAGCTCTCTACTGAGTCTTCAAACTGTTCCTCCATCTGGCATTTTGTGTTCTATCCCCTCTCTTCTACCCCTCATTCAGTATTTTCTACCCCTTTCTTGTGATGGCTGTTATTTCTCCCCAGGCCTGCTTATATCCCTTATCTGTGGGCTGGTTGAAACAAAGTAAAATTTATTAGAACCTTATCTCAGAAGTGAGGGCTTTGAGATCAAGATTAAAATGAATTAGAATCGTACTGAATCATGGGAGGTAGCAACTTTTTATAGTCTCTTATTATAATTTTAACATTGTCAGATTTTTCTTAGAAATGATGCATCAGTTATTTATAAACTTGGGAAGGAGCTTTCACTAAAAACCCTTTCATCTCCTATGGGGGGGGGAAGGGGGGAAATGTTTATCTGCAGGATTAAGATAATTAAAAAGAAAAACAGTCTGCCAATCATATGATTCCCATCTTCTTGGCAACCAGTCATAATATCAAAAGTTCAGTTCTGGTTGGGAGCTTTACATTTACTTCCTTATCAGGATGTAGAAAAATAAATAGTATTGTGGATTGTGTGAAATATCATTGAAACTAGTGGGCGGAAGCACTGCCCTTCATTTAACACAGCTATAAGAAACTATTGTGCTCTTTTATGGAACCAGAAAACAAACAATAGCAGCCTTCACCTAAAACACAGGCATATGTACTGTCCAAAACAAAGACACATAAGAGCAGAGGGGTTTTCCTGGGTATTGTTTTAGAAGAAGTGATGTAAAAGTAAAAGTAAAACATGATTTTATTTTATTTTATTTCTTAAGTTGTGTTAAATCCTGTCCATTAGTTCAAAAGCCTGACCCACATACCTCAGCTTGCTGACACTTGGGGCACTGCCAAGAAAACAACACAAAATAACAAAATATTTTGAGTGACAAATTCTTCATTTGGCAGCATGTCCCAATGAGTGACAAAATATTATAAAAAAAAAATAAACAGCTTAAAATTACTACTACTAAAGATTCCAAATGTAAGCCAGGACTCAAAAACTAATTTTACAACATCAACACAATTTATTTAGATCAAATTAAAAGATTTCTAATTGCTTTTTTCCCCCTCACTAATCTTAGCAATTGGTGTACGTGAAACATCAATCATTTGGTAGAATAGAAATTAACTGTTATAGCAGCAGGAGACTGTGGTCTTGCGACGATATTCAATTCCATTAACATTAAGGTTTCTCATTAACAGTGGTAGCCTGGTTAGTTTCAAGTTGCTCTTGCTTCTAGTTTCACTACAGAACTGAATTGGAAGCTCCAAAGTTATCATTTAATAAAAAAATTTACTCCATACCTTCTCAGTGGAAATGGGTCACCACATTTTCAATAAGACTTTGGGGCTAATACTGATTAACTATTCATAGTGAATTATACAAATATTAACATTGGCAAATGTCCATAAAATAAAGAAATAAGTATGAAAATGCATACAGTATGGCATGATATGTAAGTGCATCATGATGAGACATTACTAAAAGATGTTTCTGAAAATATACAAATTTATTTTAAATGCTGTATAAATACATAATTCCCTTCAGCTCATAGCAGAATTAAAAATAAAGAAAACTAAATTAACAAGTTTCAGAGTGGTAGCCGTGTTAGTCTGTATCAGCAAAAAGAACAGGAGTACTTGTGGCACTTTAGAGACTAACAAATTTATTCGGTCATAAGCTTTCGTGGGCTAAATCCCACTTCATCAGATGCATGCAGTGGAAAACACAGTAGGAAGATATATATACACAGAGAACAGGAAAAAGTGGGTGTTGCCATACCAACTCTAACGAGACTACCTTAATTTGTTAATCTCTAAGGTGCCACAAGTACTCCTCATTCTTTTTGTTAAATTAAAACAAGTAAAGCAAAATTTGTAAACTTTTCTACTTAAAGACAAAAAGCACAGTATATTTATACTGCCGACTATTTAGCTTCTAAACTAAAATAATTCTATGCTTCATAGTCTCTAACATTTTTACTGTGATCTTCAAGCACACCGTGATTAACTTACCCTCACTTGCCCGACAAAAGCATTCACTTCCTCTTCTTGTACAGATAGATTTTTAGGTAGAAAGGGATCAAAGACTGGTCCATTGTCATTTACGTCGGTCACCACCACATTAACAGTGGCAGTTGAGGTCTGCAGGGAAAGATAAAATAGTGAGCCAAATATTTGCACTTTACATGATGTCTTACTACTATGTATGATTAGAGCTCTGCTGTGAAAAAGCACTAAACGTGAAACAAATTAAAAATATCACTCTTCCCCTGGTCTGTGAAAAGTCAAGCATTAGTCAGTTTTGCCTTTTGTTTGTCAGCTTTTGGGGGAATGGAGGGTGTGTTAAAGCAAAGACTATGGATCCATTTCACGTACCTTTGGGAAACATGAACATTTGTGATTTTCTTCCTTCCCTGTATTTCATCATGAAACACCATGTTTTCTGGCAGAAATAGCTAGTTTTGACCCTTGACCAAATTCTTGTTAAAACTCATAAAAACTAATTGTTCTGTTTCATGTACAAATTCCAGGATGTAGCATTTAGTTTAACTGTAATCTGTTCAAAGACTTGTAGCATACTCAGCAGGCCACAGAAAATTTTTATCTTTAAAAATGTAATCATTAATATAAGTTGACCTGTGACCTACACTAAGTGCTTGTGTAACCCACACACCTTCTGGGTGTGGTGTTCTGTCCCATCTAGTGGCACTGAGACCACTTAAAGAGAGATAAAAATGAGTCTGCGCTACACCCTTAGCTAACAGTTGGCTGTTAGTCGGCTTTTAGCTCATGCAGTAGAGGCTCATGCACTAAGCTGCAGAGGTCCCCGGTTCAATCCTGCCCGCCAACAACCGGGATCTGTCGGCAGGGCTGGCTTTAGGAAGTGCGGGGCCCGATTTGAATACCCGGCGGCGGTCCGGGTCTTTGGCGGCACTTCGGCGGCAGGTCCTTCACTCGCTCCGGGTCTTCCGCGGCACTGAAGGACCCGCCGTCGAAATGCCCGGAGCGAGTGAAGGATCTGCCGCCGAAGTGCTGCCGAAGACCCGGACCACCGCCGGGTGAGTAAAAATTAAAAAGGCGCCTAAGTTAGGCACTCTTCTTTAGGGCGTGGGGCCCTCTTAGGCACGAGCGCGGGGCCCGATTCAGGGAAATGGGGGGAATCGTCCTAAAGCCGGCACTGTCTGTCGGCATATACTTATCTACACCCTGAGTTACTGAGCTTCATGTCAAGGTGTGAATTTACAGTGCAAAGATGTGCCATGCAGTCAAGTCCCCTGTGGTCACTGCTATGCCAAACTGCACTCCAAGACTTTCACTGTACCATAGCAGTGTCCGTGTGGCAAGTTACTGTGTCGAACCTTGTGCACTATAGATTTACACCCTGGCTTGAGACCCAGTAGACAAGCCCAACAAGACAACCTCTTTCCTCATGAGACATGGCCACAGTTGCTGTCAATGAAGGGGTCTGAACTACAGCTTCAATGGTATTAAAAAGCAGAAAGCTGCTTGTAGGATGGTCTCTACTAGGACCCCATTCTTTTGGAAATCAGTTCTTCCCAGTCTGTAATAGCCCAGGTTTGTTAACCTTTAGGTCAGGCTGCAAAGGCCATCTTTTTTCTTTGTCCAATATGGATCTGGGTTGACAGCAGGGTGAGGCTGAAACTCCAGTGCTGGCTTTGTCGATGGGAGTTTATTATTCAGTTCTTCTTATATTTATGATGCTTTAACGAGTAATCAATACTCAGTCATACATTTGTCTTGTTTTGACATAATATACTACATACTTAAACACACACAAAGTATTTTAAAAATTATATGAAAATAATGGTGCAATTAACTAGCTTCTTGTAGTGGCTTTTTGCTCAGTTGCTTACTATTTATTTCTGAAACTTGTCATTCCTATATTTAACTTATTTTAGGAAGCTCAAGCTCTTTTTTTAAAGATGTACAAAATCATTGTCAACAATAAGGAGGCTCCAGAACATTCACTGTTGATGATACACAAAGCACACTGAATTCAATTTGTTTTAATAAGCTAATCTGATTCTGCACAATGAAAAGAAATAAAATCTCTTAGATTTAGTAAACTGAGAAAACATGACATGGAAATCATAGACATCAGAAAATAAATAGCTGTCAGTTTGAGAGATTTTTTTTTTCTATTACAAAGAAACTTTAATGGAATGTTTCTACAATGTGCTTGTTGCTTTCATGATGCTGTCAATAGTGAGTCAGCCTAGTGCATCATTTAGAACATTTAGATTTGTTACTCAGCAGCCAAAACACATTTTGTCTGATTGCTTTTGAATCAAGTTTATGAAAGTAAAATTATTATTCTGATTTGCTTACAGATCCAACTTTGTGTCTGAAGAAAAAAGAATATCAATGTGTGTGTGTGTGTGCGCGCACGTGCATATTACACACATAAATCTACGTACTGTGGAAAATTCAATTATCACAAGCATTTTTTTTAAATGACACCCATAAATGCCCAGAGTTTTGTGTAATGATGGTCTGTAACAGTACTATTAAACATTAAACCAATAAAGAGAGCTTCTCTTATCATACTCAATCCCATCTCAAAATTCAGATCTAAAATGTGACCTATGACCGCCTAATGATCTTTCTAATAAAAAAATAAAATCCCAGTCTCTAAGACATCTTGTATTGCCCCTGCACAATTGTTTTTTGCCAAAATGGTCATTATGGCCTTACCACAAATACAGTCTATCAGTCTGAATGCTGGTATAATTCTAGAAAGGCACATACGAGGGAACAAAACACTTTCCTTCAGCTTTCAGCCACTCAAGGGAGGGGTGCAATTTTGTGTCATTCTTTAACATAAGTTCAATTTTGATGTGAGGGGAACTTGCAATAAATCTCAGGAATTCTTACAGCGCAGGGATTAGCCTCGGGGCGAGGGGGGGAAGGAGACATATCAGAGAGGGAAATGGGCAATTATCAGTGAAAAGCAAGAAAAAAGAGAAACTTGAGTGAGAAAGGGACAAGATGCCCAACAAAATACAAAAGGGTAAAGCAGACTTTCCCTCAATCTGTATGGTAATATGGGGGAAAGAAACGAGTTTACTGCCACCTCCGAGATATCTGAAGAGGTTTACTGGGAACCTGGGCTCTTTACCTTAGAGATAACTGGCAGAGACCCAAGGGCTACTGGATCATTATAAGATCAGACAGGGCTCATTTTAGAACCTAGGTCTTAATTTTCCATCATTGCTTTTATTTTCACCTTGAGTGTGCCTTGCTATACATATTATTGCAGGGCTGACGCTGTTTTTGGCAAGTTCTTATGTAATTATATATGTGATATTGCTGAACTACAGGAGGTTAAGAGAAGGATGAGAATGATCATGCTCATGGAACAATACTCATAGGAAGAGAGATGGAAAAGATTAGGATTGTTTACCTTAGAAAGCAGATGAATAAGACAGGACAAGACAAAAGTACATATAACATTGAATGCTATCGGGAAGGTAGATTGGAAGCATCTGTCCTCCCAGTTTCAAAACACAAGAACAAGGGGACAGTCAATGAAATTAAAAGGAGGGAAATTCTAAAATGATAAAAGGAAATACTTTTTTCAAACTATGTATAACTGAACTGTGGAAGTCTCTGCCACAGGAAGTCATTGAGGCCAAGAACTTAAGATTCTAAAACAATTTGGACATTTATATGGGCATATAGAATATACAGGTAATAAAAATGTTGTGGAAGGGTTATTAAGCCTCATACTTGAGGGCTTAAACCAATCTCTATTAGAGATGAGAATGAGACCTAATATGGGTTGTAAATGACTCAACTGTCTACTGTTGGATAGTTGCACTTCTCTCTGAAGTATCTGGTGCTGGCCACTGTTGGAGACAGGATACTGAACTACATGTACCTTGACTCTGGATCCAGTCTGTCAATTCCTATGTTCCTGTATTTGCTTCAATGTCATAATAAATCATCCTGTCATAGAAGCACTATCCTGTTTCAACATTCATCTTGGTCTGGGAGGAGAATACATGATCTTTTAAAATAGCCTGAAAATTGTATTGATTTTGAGGCCCTAATTAGATAATCAAACTTAATCCAAAATTTACAAGAAAGCACATCAACTTTTGTTTGTTTGTCTTATTTAAAACTTCCATGGTACTCAAATATGCTCTTGACCCAGTACCAACATTTTTAAATAGAGCTACCATAATTTCTACAGTAGTCACAACTTAGTGAACCATTAGAAGTAAATTAATTCACTGAGCTGTGCATATAGTATAGAGATATTATAAAAAAATACATATCCAAGAGGTCTTTGTTTGTCCCCCGATCCCCTTTTTTTGCTGTCAACTTCTCTAGCATTTGTGATTCACAACAAAAGAACACTTTGGAATTCTCTATTTTTCTCCTCTAGACTCATAAACCTCTATCAACTTCATCCGATTGCATTATCATTTTTGCAATGCTAATAATGGACATACAGTGTTAAATAGGTGCTATTTTTCACCGTCATGAGTACATGATGCGAACCCTATAGATGGTCTTTAACTCAGTTAACTACATTGGTCTCCTTTGGGATGCATGTAACATATATTGGTGATTCTGCCATTAGTTCACCTTGGTAACTGCCACACTCAAAAGATTGTTTAATAAAATGTGTGTGTGTGTGTGTGTGTATTCCAATAAGGGGCTCCAGAGCAACAGTGTCATGACTAGCACCCACAGCAAAAGGGTGACAAGTATATCCTAAGATATCCTTCAGTAAGCAACCGGGGTGAATTACGGGGCCTCTTTTTAGCCTATCAATGAGCAGAAAATAGAGCCAGAAAATAAACTGTGGGTCTTATGGCCTTTCAACAGCCACAAGAGTAATTACCTGGCACAACAGTTAATATGAGGGAAGGCCCACAGTTTAGGGTATACTTTTTTGGTGGGGTGGGAAGAAGGTAAATGCATACACTGTGAGGGAGATCTTCCTCTCTACAACCAGTTCCATGCGGCTCACTTTCATGTACGGTCAGACAGCTCCATCATATTTCACACCACCGATTTCCTATTGCAGGTACCAATGCTGTGATTGCTCTGAAAGTCATGTAAGCCATGATTCGCTTTTTGCAAAATGAGGACATTCTTCTAACAAAGAA